CCCCCCCCCCCCCTCGTAATGTGACGTAATTGTTGAATAGCTCCTGACGCAATTCATGCAGATTCACGCCTGGATCTTAGCGGCTCCGATTGTTTTGAAGCATACATACAAGTGAAAATACAACACCGACTAAATTCGGCAAACTACTTCCTACTACTTTTTATATGATTGCGGTGCCTGCACAAAGTAGGCGAGAAGTGACGCGCGTTAGAAATGTAACTTAAACGTAGGGTATGTGTAGAGGCTTGTATAGAGACAATTTTTAACGGAACGTTTCATCGCGTACCTTCCGATACGACGGAGAGTATGATAATAGAATGATAGAATTTACACTGATGAGGTTGTCTCGAATTTCTTTTTCCGACTGGAAGCGGCGACGTGAAGTTCTCGGAATGTTATGTTGCCCCGAGGCCGAGTTATCACACTTGTCCCTTACTTTTGTCACCGCATCCAATTGCGCGATGTCATAGCAGCGAAAGATCTCCATCTTCTTCGAAAGCTCTCTTGTGATGCTGTCCATGTATTGGGACATGGCGTGCTGACACTGCGCGGTCATTCGCGTGGGATACGTATGCGACAGGTAACCCAATAACGACGACGTGAATCTCTGAAGAAAAATCAAAGAAAGAAACCGAATCAAGACGATTGATTACTCTTTGCTGTTTTTCGTGAGAAAAAGTGACTTCTCTCCCTCTCAAGTGATAATTATGCGCTAAATTTGTGAATTTCCACCAAGCCTCCGAGAAAAATGGAAAACAATAAATTCTACGTACGTGCAAGTCTTGTTCGTTCAATCGCATATCCTTATGTACCATGGCTAGGTAACCGACGAATCGATCCAGTTGTCTCGGCTTGTTGTTGAAGTCCAGCAGTAGATATCCCATAGCTTCGATGATCCTCGAAAATTTCTCAATGTTACGGAAATCGAAGTTCACGGATGCTTTAAGTTCTAGCGTGAAAAATTTCACGTACTGCGGGTAGGTATCGCAAAAGCTGGAATTTCATGATCCCTTGAAAAACTACCGTAACATCGTCGTCTTTAATCGGGATCTTTAAACGACGTTTCAGTTATTTCTCATCGATCGATAATAATATCACGCATAATTATATAATTTTCTGTTATTCGCAAATTTCTTTTTTAATATCACGCACGTTCTGAAAAAGGCACTTCCATGATTTTGAGGGCTAATCTCAACTTCCGACCATATGTTTTTAACCAATGCGTATTCTTCAGTGCTGAATTTATAATAATTCAAAGTACCGGGACTTTCATAAATACTGTGTTTTATACCCATTTACGACGAATAAAGAAGCGCTTTCCTTTCGTGACAAGAACGCATTAGAACTACATGGTACTACGTGTAAGGAAAAACACGATAAAAACTGAATACAGTAATGTGTGAAGTATGTCTAAGTATTATCTCAGGAGTCCCTTTTGAGACATACAGAGTGTTTTGTTATTGGTGAAACTCACTTCAGGAATAAGTGCAACTCTGAGAGGCAACTGAAAGATTTATTCTCCAATGACAGAACATCCTAAACGCATAAATAGAAAAATACGTTTACTATAGATTGACATAAAATAACTGAGAGTTATCTTATGTTAAGTTACAGTAAGTCCCTTGTACTTATCCTCAATTTTTAATTATATACATACAAAAGTACTATATATATATAAAATCATATGCAGAAATTATATAACTAAATCACTAAATTAAATCTTTATGACAAAACAGACGCTTCGCCAGGCGCGTAGACTTTTACTTGCCAGTCCAACAGCTTAAATAAATATGCTACTTTCTCCGCCCAATGATATTTCAACCTAATGCAATCTGTTCTCCAACTTATAGTTAGTTTGCCAGATGCATCGCCAGAATAACCTGTCGTAAGTGGCTCAGTTGTGACACACAGATGCGCCATATGTTTCAAGCAATTAGCAACCGTGTCTGCATCTGAGATCTTTGGATCTTCTTGATACGTATGTGTGAGAATATAAAGCTTCGATGTACCATGTGACACCATAAACGACCTTAAGTATCTTATCAAATACATGACATCACGTATACCTAGGCCTAAATCAAAAAGATGACTTATATCATCGATCACAAGAACCACAGATGCATTAAACTTAGCTGCTTCCTCATAACTCTTTCTAATGTGTATAAAAAGCCTATGTACAACGTCCATATGTTCTCGAGAAATAATATCCGCAATGATACTTTCGTTATCTACCGAATCCGCACGTATACCGACAACATTGCCAGTCACAATTTTCATTGGCTCCACAACGGTAACCTGACCCTTTGCTTTCAGAGACAAAAGATTATAGCCAAACCTTGCACCGATATTGTGATAGTGACCGAAGGTATTGTGACATAGAACCAGACAAACAGCATTCTTCTTCTTCAACGCATTTGACATTACAGCGTTGACCAGAAAGTTTGCGTTGCTACCGTGTTGCTCCACGAACAGAACCATTTTGCCGTCCATATTTACTCTGTCAATCCCGAGAGTTTTGCACACCATTTCCATCGAGCTGGCCATGATGGACTGAAAAAAGCACAACAAGTACATATTATCGCAATATATTTCGCGAGGAAACCAACGATACCTACACAACGTGTTTCTAATTTGACAGATGAGAGAACCGTTACGCACGAAAACTCGCACGAAAGCACGAGCTTCTTTATAACCTAAAAGACGCGCAAAGTATTAATGGGCGCGCAAGCACGGGAATAAATGTATTTCAAGCCTAATATCTACAGCTCATTGTACAGTTTAACAACAACAATACTGCACTTCGCTACAATATATAATACTAACTACATAATTTATAACGGCATAATTATATTTTATCGCGCTTAATTAACTCACATCTCGCAACAATAACAGCGTACGGCTGTGAAATTAGCATCTTTGCGTAAAGAAATTTGAATCGAGTCGATTCAAACCAATTTAATACAATCGACATATCGTAGGAAAATTATCGATATATCGTGAGACACTTATTTTTGAATTTAGGCAAAATGCAACCAACTTCTCGTGTAATTTGAAATTCAAAACTGTGAGATTTCAACTTTTTGATACCTCGCTAATATTTCGCATGCATCAGAACTATTTCTGCGCAAGGATACCGCTGATACAATGGCACACGGAATAATTGTTACCTACAATTTCGCTCGTAATTTCCCCTCGATCCGGGTGCAAAACTGTAGAAAATGCATTCGCATTGGTTTTCGCGCAACGGTATAGCGAAACCGAGCCCGGCCTTGCGACTTGGTTAGAGACAAATCGTGACCTCGTGATCGCACGTGTTAATCCGGAACAAACTCACCGTGTAAATACGCAGCTACATGCGGCACATTACCGGCTCCACGTCGACCGATAACGAGAGCGCAGGCGATAAAAAGGTTGGCCAAGGCTTCCTAGGAACGAGAGCCCGGGCTTTCACGTGTCTGTCAGCTGATGCGCGCGCACGACGCGGCAATCTATTATTCCGGAGGAACGTGCACTATTTCAGTCGGATTCCAGCGGTTGTCCAGGCTGGAGTATCGACGTCGATGCTGAGTTTGCGTCATTGGCGTCGACCAAGTACCACGTGTGAGTACACTTTGCTAAACTCATTTCTGTAAGGTTTTCATTAATATAAGCTTAATGTAATCATCAGACGCGTACGATAGGGTCGAAAATTCGCAGAATTCGAGATCGAGATTGTTTTAATTAGCAGACGCGTTACTTGTGAACGTTTGATGACAAGCAGTTTACTGACTTAATTTGCGCTCGACTGTGTGAACAGCGCTTGATAATACAAGCGGTCGGTTGGGCGCGGACAGCTGAGTGGCCATAAATTCTTTTAGTTCTTCCTGTTGATTCACGCTCGTTCCGATCCCCCGTTAGTGAGAATTCCGTATAGCAATTGCAGTGAAAGCCTCGCTTATTCGTGTCGTTCGCGAGACGAGGGGAGAAAAAAAGCGGAACGAGTTTAGGTTCGCGACTACTTCGGAAATCTATATATTGGTATCGCTCAAGGTCACCATTTTCACGATGGATTTAATTTTAGCACTGTTTAGATAATTTCTTGAATCAAAATTTCCGGTTTAGTTCAAGGGATCACGGAATATCGCGGGATTCTTGCGCGAGCGGATTTAATTGAAGAAGAATTTTGTAAACGTTTCTAATAGCAACATAAAAATTGGATTTTATATATATAATGTGAAAAAATTACAAGATTCAAGAATGCGTATAATTCACGTATTATGTATAACTTGTTATATATTATATAATGAATTTTGACATTGGAAAATTTTCCAGCTTTGTCATCCTGTGTTGAATGTCGATACTTCAAGGCCATTTGGGGGAATACTGCTAATCTTATGTCATGATTAAATAATATATTGACACCTGATTGATAGCGGTGAAAAAAAGAAGGTAAGATTGTGATGAATTATATATTTTGCAAACACACCTATCAGATCCATAAATATCCTAGCCATATCTTAACAAGTTGTTCTGTTTGAAGTGTTACAGATATGTCCCCAGTTTATGCTTGATATTAAGTGAAGAAGATAATGACAATGATTGACAAAAGCAAGAAATTATCACGTTGGTATTTTGGCGGCGTTTCTTCCGCAGCTGCTGCATGTGTGACCCATCCATTAGACCTACTCAAGGTATTTCTTCCACATTGCTCTCAACTTAGATGTACTGTGGAAGACTGTGGTGTTTGTAAGTCGATAAATGAATTAAAATGGTATCTACAGGTTCACCTACAAACTCAGCAGGAAGGGAAAATATCGATATTACGTTCGACAGTAGGAATAATTAAACAACAAGGGATATTAGCTTTGTACAATGGACTCAGTGCTTCCTTGCTTCGCCAGCTTACATATTCTACAATCAGATTTGGAGCGTACGAGGTTGGTGCATTGGAAACTTTTCCAGGTGTACTGTACCATCTTCTCTCAATTCATTATGCACGAGTCATACTGTTACATATAATAACAGGTCGGCAAACAGACGCTTGAAACACCTGGCCATCCATTACCCTTCTATCAAAAGCTACTATTGGCAGGAGTTTCCGGTGCTACAGGTGGCGTTTTCGGGACCCCCGGCGATGTAATCAATGTACGCATGCAGAACGATATCAAGTTGGCGCCGGAACTAAGAAGAAAGTGAGAATCAAAGTTTCTGTTTTTTCTGCATATCTCGCGGACACAGATCATAGTGTATTGTCTTTTGACACAGCTATAAGCACGCTTTGGACGGGCTGTTGCGTGTAATCCAACAGGAAGGAATTCATAAGTTATTTAGCGGATGCTCCACCGCGACCATGAGAGCATCGTTGATGACTATCGGGCAATTGAGCTTCTATGACCAAATAAAAATAACGTTGTTACAGAGCGGCTATTTTAAGGATAATCCTACAACGCACGTCTTATCTAGTGTATCTGCTGTGAGTTATCTTTGCTTATGAATGTATCACAGTCGAAATATTTCAAGTTCCTTTTTTTTGTATATGAAATAAGATCATCTTATCTCTGTTTATGTTAAACAGGGCGCTATCGCAACTACGCTTACACAACCTTTAGATGTTCTGAAAACGCGAGCAATGAATGCTAAACCCGGTGAATTTAAAGTAAGTGTACTTATAAAATTTGACGACACAACTCGCTGATACAATTATCTTCTTCCGTAGAGTCTGATGGAGATCTTCCTGTATACTGCCAAACTTGGACCATTCGCTTTCTTCAAAGTAAGTATAATGGGTAAAAAAGAATATATGTCTATGTATAAGCATGCGTTTTAATATATTAATAAATGATTAATAATAATCTTTCTAATCTTTCAGGGCTATGTACCTGCATTTATCCGGTTAGCGCCGCAAACTATCCTCACATTTGTATTTCTTGAACAACTTAGATCGAATTTTGGGTTCTATCCGCAATCTGTGAAACAGTCGTTATAAACCTGAAACCGGCCGTGGAACTTAAATCCTTTAGAGCACAAATTTACTGAGAATATCGTAACAGATTCATTACATGGTAAATCATACAGGGTACAAATTGATAAGAATGCTAAAAACTTTATTACGAACGTGAACAAATGTCCATAGTTTATGTTACGTAAGCTACTCGTCAGAAACCTGATGTGAAGGATGAAGGGTGTGACACTACTCGAAAGCCAAATCAAGCATTTCTCCGTAGCGCGGATAGCTAAAATATCAAACGTACGCTACTTAAACATAAATAATTATGAATTGTTTGCGGATGATTTAAAATCTATTATATAACAGTGCCAAGAATCTATAGTTATATAACATATAGAATATTAATAGTACTTATTGTGCTTACATGCAGAGAAACGTTCTAATTTCGACAAACGCGAATCATGTTCCAATCGATGCATTCCCTATAGAAATGTGATATATGCATGTCCTGAGACATATAATTGTACAAATCTGTATCTATATGTATCCACATATATA